AAGGACCCCGCCGCCCCGATCCTGTCGCCGGGCCTCACGCCCGCCTCTGTGCGGCAGGGACCAGGCCGCTCCTCGCGCTGCCCCGCTTCCCCTTGGTGACTGCCGAGCGCGCCATAGGCCCGAGCGGCCGAAAACCCACAGCGACCCGGCTGACCGCAGCCGGGACGTGCCGGAAGTCCCGCCCTCCCCGGTGCGCGCGCGCACGCACGCAGACGTCCCGCCTTAAGCGCTCATTGGCTCGGCCGCGCCGCCGCGCGACGCAGTGTCTTCTGGGTTGTGAAGTTTCTACCCGGCTTCCGGACACGTTTCCGAGTTTCCACGACTCCTTACACGATGGAGAAAGGGCCAGTAGCACCGTTGGGGACCCTGGGAAATGGAGTCCCGGGATTCCAAAAACCGCGCGGGGCTTACGTGCTCTTTTTTTTTTTTTTTTTTTTTTGCGGCGTCCCCAGATTTTCTTGGATTGCAGCCTAGGAGACTCAAGAAAGTGTTAGCGACCTATTGTTTCAGACTCCATCCAAAGGGACACACCATTCTGTAGAGGCACTCTGTCTCTACTCACTGTCAGCCAACTTGTCGCATTTCTAATACATGTAGAGTTCAGCTGTGGATAATAAGCTTCAAGTGTTTGGTCGGGGAGAAGAAAGAAAGGCTACGCATAGAATCATGGCGGGAATTTACACAAATGATGACAGGAGGCATTGAATAGGTTGAAACGGTGAGGTTGTGCCTCTGGTTCCAAGAAAAGCATCTTCCTGGCTGTGGTGTAGTCACTTGAGTGTGTTCCTACCAAAAGAGCACCACTTTTATTGAAATAATATTTAATTTACTCCATATCTTACTACAAAAAAAGGTTTGACAGTAGTGGGACACTTCCAGGGGAGGGAGGGGGAGGGCACATAACATCAATAAGGGTGCCTGATCCTAATCCAGGCGAAGTGAGGTTCACGGGGAGTCCCAAAACTTCACCTGTACCTAATGAAAGACGGTGGGGCACAGTGAGACTCAACACCCATTAAGGCCAAGAGATTTAATGGGTCGAACTCGGTGGCTACAGGACCTGAGGGTCAGGCTGTAGCGCTGAAGCAAGGGTGCTCCTGCCTTTATGGGGGCTTAGGGCGACCTGTCAGTCAATTATTGGTCGGCTGGCAGAGCTCCATCCAGGTTGGTGGGTTTTTCCCAGGCGCGGGAAGGGGTGCGGAGGGAGAACAAAGGAAGGCACCGTAGAAGAGCAAAGGAAGGCACCGCAGAAGAGCAAAGGAAGGCGCCATTTCAATCGCCATTTTAGTTTGCCGGGTCGCTGTTTCCAGGAAAGAGAGGGGATGTGGCTTTACTTGTGGTTTGGCGGTGGCCCTTCATTCCCACCTCTTTGGTTATACGGGAGAGGGGCAGCATTTGTCTGTCCAGCTACTTCCTGCTGAAAATGGGCGTCGGTGGGTGAGGTGGGTGAAAGGACAAGCCACATGAGACCCCACAAGTAGGCCCCAAAAGAAAAAATTTCATTTGGGTGGAAGTCCTGGAAGGTGCCTTGTAAGTGGAAAATGGCAAGCTGGTCCGGCCAGTCGTTGAGTGGACACGGGAAAGGGAGGAGCCAGCTGTCATGAAGAAAGTAGTGAAGAAACGCTGAGAATCTGAGTGGAAGGTGGTGAGGGGTAAACTTTGAGGCAAGCATGTCTGAAATGAGAAGACAAGGTTAGAGGTTTGTAGGGTTGGGACAGTCGAGACCTGGATCT